TGCCTCCGATTGTCGGACCTGCTGGTCCTACACTCCGACCCCCGAACCCTCATTGTGCGACTTAGTCGTAGGGGCCTGAATATCCTCTTCGTAGCTATCCACGCACCTATCGCAGCAGCCAAAGATAGGGCACAATGGTGGACGAACTTGGCGGCCAGGGTCACACGCCTCTGCAAGACGTGCCGAGTTGTTTTGCTAGGCGACTTTAACGTGCACTTTGGAACGTGCCGGGATGGCCGCATCGGGGATTTGGTTTGGCCGGGTTCTGATAGTATCCCCCAAGGGCTTCTTGACCTGCTGGACCGACAAGACCTGTGGATCCCCAGCACTTTTTGCCAATGCCACCACGGTCCTAGTCTCACGTGGACTACTCCCAATGGGCTGCACAGCTCTCGCATCGATTACATTGCAATCCCCTCCTGTTGGGGAGCCGCCCCAGGGGCCTCACAGGTTCACCATGACCTTGATTGGGGCCAATCACATGTAGATCATTATGCGGTCAGGTTGGATGTTACCTTCTTTGCGCGTCTTGGTTCATGTGACAACCTATCTTCCTGCTCCATTGATCGGGATGCCCTTTCCACCCCAGAAGGGCAGCGGGTCCTTTCGGCCATTTGGGAGGCAGCGCCTACTCCGCCATGGAGCATGAATGTGCATCGACACTGGTGCCTTGTGGAACGGTACTTACAGCAATCCCTGCTTGAGGCATTTCCGGCCAAGCGAGGAAGTTGTCGATCCTCGCACTTCAGCACCAGTACCTGGCTGATACGGCAACGCCGAGTATGGCTTCGCCGATGCATCCTTCGATTACGCTGCCACATATCACTTACTTCTGTGCGAGGGGCTTTCCATGCCTGGCGCCCCCGCATGCGACTCTTTGTCAGCCAGGTTTGTGCTTGCCTCTCCGCCGCCTCCTCCCTCACAGCCCTTCACACCTTCGTTGCGGAGATCCGTTCTACCAAGCACCTGCTTAGGCAGGCCATTCGCCATGACCAAGGACAAAGGATTCAGGCTGCGGCAGAGGCTGCGGCTAGAGCACCTCCATCGGACACCATCGCTGCCCTTCGTCCGCTTGTGGGGCCATCCAAGCGTCGATGTCGTGGACGTCAGAGCCTCCCCATGATTCGTGACGAGGATGGCCGACCTGCGACCACACCAGAAGAGGCCGAGGCCGTCTGGATTAAGCATTTTGCCGGCATCGAAGATGGTCGGGTGGTGTCCCCGACAGATCTAGCAGCTCTTTGCATGCACAGACAGACCACTCGCGATCTTGACGATCTGACCATCCGCCGAGAGGACCTTCCCTCGCGTTGGGAATTAGAGGCCTCTCTCCGTGCCACGCAGCCAGGACGAGCTGCGGGGGTTGATGATCTTCCCGGGGAGATCTTACACTTTGCAGCCTCAGCCTCATCCCGCGTGCTCGCGCAGCTTGCCCTCAAGATAGGAATGCGCATGGCAGAGCCGCTCGCCTTTAAGGGCGGAGCTCTCCAGACAGTATGGAAGGGAAAGCTTTCACCGCTTCAGCCAGAAGCACACAGAGGGATACTGGTATCCTCCTGCATCGGCAAATCCCTGCATCGTGCAGTCCGGGCTCGAGCGGTTGGCCCTCTGGCAAGCGTCTCCTCGCCGTTGCAAATAGGAGGACTTCCATGCATGCCTGTCACCATGGCCGCGCAGGCCATACGACTATTCCAAAGTGGGGCACAAGAGCATCGCACCAGTTATGCTCTCATTTTTCTCGATTTGAGGGAAGCCTTTTATCGTGTCATTCGACCGTTGTTTACAGGGTCTGCATTCAACGACGAGCAGTTTGCCTCCGTCGCCTCTCGTCTTCGTCTGTCGCCTGATGTACTCGCGGTACTGCATCGCCACCTGTCCACGGAGTCTCTCCCTGCTGCAGCTGGAGCATCCCCATGGGCTTCCCAGTCACTGTCGGAAATCCTCGACAGTACATGGTTCCGTTTCAGACGAAGTGAAACTGTCGTCCAAACAGGCATTGGCAGTCGCCCAGGCGACAATTGTGCCGACCTTGTTTTTGGATATCTCTTCGCTTGTGTCCTTCGTGACCTGAAGCAAGAACTCCACCAGGCAGAGGTCTTGGTGCACCTCCCATGGGATCCCTCTTGGAAGGACCATGTTGGACCCCTTCCACCATGCCATCCTGCCTCTACCACTCTTCCTGTTATGGATTCCACCTGGATGGACGACCTAGCGCTCATGCTCAAGGTCCGGTCGGCCAAGGACCTTCCTCCGGCTGCCCGCTTCGCCACTAAAGCCCTCGTCGATTGTTGTTTGAGCAGAGGCTTGGTGCCCAATTTCGGACGTGGCAAAACCGAGATTTTGCTAGTTCCTGTCGGGCCGGGGTCTCGCGAGGTCAAAGCCTCTGTATTCCGCGATAAAGACCCCTGCCTCTCCTTCCACTCAGACCACATCGGCCAAGTCTCCGTGAGGTTGGTCACACAGTATCGACATCTTGGAGGTCTTATCCATCACACCGGCAAGGCGCTGAGGGAAGCTCGACACCGGATTGGCCTTGCTCACGAGGCGTTCCAAAAGCATAAGGTCAAGGTCTTCCAGTCGCCCTCCGTTCCCCTTCTGAGCAAAACCATGCTCTATGAATCCCTCGTCCTGTCTACCATGTTGCATGGTGCCGGGACTTGGATCAGCATTGACAAGACGACCACCCGTGCCCTGTCGTCTGCACACACGCTCATGGCTGCGAGGATGATGCGCCCTCGGTTCTCTTTCGAGGAGGCTCTACACCAAGGTCCGGCACGCATTCTTGCATTGCTTGGTCTTCCTGGCATCCCCACTCTCCTGCATGTCGCCCGTCTAAGACAGCTGCTTCCCTGCGTACGCCTGGGTATAGATGAGCTCTGGGCACTCATACATTGGGATGGGAGATGGCTAAAGGATGTGCAAGCCTCTCTCACTTGGCTGGCCCATCTTGTGGACCCTGCGGGAGGGACCTGGGAAAGCCAATGGCCCACGTGGCACCAGATGATGCTGGAGCACCCAGGACGTTGGAAGGCCCTCCTACGCAGAGCACAGGCTACCGACATTCGAATATCCGCATGGGAGTCCGCTCGAATGTACGATGCTGGTCTACTTGTCCGCCAGTTGCGTGTCGCCGGAGGCGTCCTTGCCAGCCACCTTACGGCCGCGTCGGACCAGCGACAGTGCTGCGCACCCTGTCAGCGCACCTTTGCCAACTATAATGGGTGGAGCCTTCACGCATTTAAGACCCACAGACGAGTCATGGAAGGCCGTGGCATCCTCTCCGGCACACAATGCCAGGCATGCCTCAGAAACTTCGGCACGAACGTCCGGCTTTGCAGACACCTTCGTTTTACGCCTCGGTGTCGCCTTAAGCTGCTGCAAGCCGGCTTTTCGTGCCCAGTCCTGCCCGGCATTGGCAGTCGGGGGGCAGAGGACTCAGGTCGTTCACAGGCGCCAGCCCTTCAGGCCGCTGGGCCTACGCTGCCGTTGAGGCTTCTGGAGGTTGATGATGAACTCAGTCGGCCGGTCGCTGAGGTTCTTGAGTGTCTCTCCCTTCTGGACCATGATGGACTCTTGTCCTCCCTGCCTGACTCGGCCATTTGGGACAGAATACGACTTGCTTTTGCTTGTGTATGTGCACCCACGGCGCGTCTACGCCTCACAGTTGTTGCATGGCAGGGGGTCATCGATGCCTGCTACCCACACTTGCGTGCTCGACTTCACCCATGTGTGGAATGGCTCCTTCAGACCGACCTGGTTGAATGGCTCGTCCCGGACCCATCCGACCCGGCTCCTCGGCTGTACACCTTCCAAGATTCGGCCATCTCACTAGGTCTTCTTGACCTTTCGGCCGTCCGACTTCCTGCCCTGATCACCCCCAAGGAGCCCACCTTTTGTGTCGTTGCTCCCCTTTCCTGGGAAGGTTCAGCTGAGAAGGTCTTTGGTGCCAATTTGGTCTTCTTCTCCCATCAAGAATGCATTGCAACTGCCACCTCCGGGAACTTGCCCTCCTTCTTTGAGGGTCCTTTCCAGGATGTTTGCTTCCTCCTGCTTTTACATGGCCTTTGCGGCTTTGAGTTTGAGAATCCGATCGATGTCCCTGCTTCGGGATTTTCAGATAGACTCTCCTCAGCCAGCCTCGCAGGGGATTTGCTTCGGTTTTTCGTTCGCCTGCTTTGCCGCGGGATTCCGGCCCTTGCTGTTCTTCGGCCGGTCCCCTGCATCACCTTCAGTGCCATCATGGATTTACCCGGCCTACAATCCTGGCACTCAGGACCGTACAGGGTGCTTGGCAAACAGAACGAACCGTTAGCTCATTTGCGTCACCTTTTCCTTAATTAACTGCATCCTAAAGGGCTGCGACCGCTCAACGGACCCTACGCCCCAAAAGCGAGAAAAGCGAGATTCATAAGTACAGTTACCATAATTATAACCCTAGTTACTAAGTCCCATGATCCTTTAAGTAGATCCCCTAAGAACAGGCCGCTTCAGGACCAGAACTGGAGGCCCAAACGGCTTATAGTAAACCCGAAAAGGTTGGAAACCGGATTAACGACAAATAGTGCTGGGATTCCCTATACAGTACTCTGAAGGATTGAGGCTATGGGGTTTCCAACTCTTGGGCTTCTGCTGTAAGGTTTGGGGTTGAGGGTTTAGGATGGGCCGGAGTAGGCACGAATACTATTCCTGGGCTCCCTGTAGGACCGTGCATTCACGAAGCCATGGGATTCTGAGCACGCGCCGATCCAGGCTAAGTCGTACATCTTGGCTTAGAGTAGCTTAAATCCTAAACGACGCAAGCATCATACGCGAAATGCCCTGAACCGGAGCCTACACCTCTGCAAGAGATCGATTCTTCAAAAGGCCGCGGCCAAAGCTTGCGAGATCAAGCTGGAGGGGCCCACAAGCCCCAGAGTGTGTTCGATCGGAAACACAAGGACTGTCCTGCCAGCGATGTCTACATCGCGGCTATCCTTGCCCGGCTTTCAGCAGTTTGGGCCATGGGCGCGGCATTTTGGACCAGGCCGAGCGAGGTCTCGTGGGGTTGAGCACATTGCAGTACGTGTGTCACCACCGACCATCACTGTGCATCTTGGAGAACGTGACTGGCGTCATGCGCAAGAACAATAAGCCGTATCGTAGGATTCTCGAGATAAGGTCTCCCAAGGCTTGAACTACGACCTGCACATGAAGGTTCTGAATACCCAGGACTTCGGCATTCCCCAGTCCAGGCGACGTCTTTACATGGTGGCCATTCGAGAAGATCAGAAGGTGAAAGCCTTCAAATGGCCAGAAAAGCGACAGCTTTCAGTCAACGCGCTGAAGCAGTTCCTGGATCGTGCTACGTCCGGGGAGGAGATTCTTGACCTGAGCAAACACACAAGAGCCAAAGGCATGTCGGAAGCAGACTTATGGGAGAAGGCTTGCGTTCTGGATGTAGGTAGCAGCACCAAGTTTCAGTGTGGCCGGACCGGGGTGACGCCGTATTTGACAAAAATACGGTTAAGCTTTCAGTGAAGGGTTCCGGATAAATCCTGTCGCAGAGTAATAAGTGGGTTTAGGAAGAACCTTTCTTTCTTTAATGAGATATAGCCATATAGCTGTGGTCCGCTCTCATCGCCCTGACCCTTGAAGAAGGCCCTGAACCCTCATAACACTCTTGTAAAACCTTCATGAAACCCTCGCGGAGCGATCCTTGAAGTTTGTTCAGCGTTTCTAGCTAGGCTAAAGCCTAACGCGCCCTTAGTCACCCAGCCAAAACCCTAAACACTTTAAAAACTTGGGATTACCTTACAGGGTTTTACATCTGAACCCCCAAAAAGTACTATGGTGCCTATGGCTAAGCCTAAACCCTTAAACCCCTAAACCTAAACCCTAAACCCCTAAACCCCTAAACCCCTAAACCCCTAAACCCCTAAACCGTACACCCTAAACCCTAAACCCCTGAACCCCTTAACCCCTAAACCCCTAAAACCCCTAAACACATAAACCCCTAAACAAACCCCCTAAACCTTAAACCCCTACACCCTACACCCCTAAACCCTACGCCCCTAAACCCTAAACCCCTGAACCCCAAACCCCTAAACCCTTAAAACCCTAAACCTTAAACCCCTAAAACCCTGCACCCCCAAAACTCAAGCGCCCATTAGACGAAGAGCCATGAACCCTCAATCCTAAACTCTAAATACCCTTAATGGAGCCCCTATAGATCCCTTTACAGGAACCCCTATAGATCCCTTCAAAGGAACCCCGATAGATCCCTTTACAGGAACCCCTACAGATCCCTTTAAAGGAGCCCTTTTTGATCCCTTCACAGGAACCTGATCCCTCAGCTCCAAGGCCTCGAGTTGCTTCCGGCGCCGGTCCCACTGCCCCGGTCCACCTCCTGGCAGGATGTCTGGGGAGTTTTCCGAAAAATTCGGGGGTACCTTAGTTTGGGGTCTCTTAGGGTTTAGGGTTCAGGGTTTAGGGAGTTTCCGAAAAATTCGGGGGGGAACCCTCAGTCCCTCAAAGGCATCTACGGGTGGAGTTTCCGAAAATTCGGCGTACCTCTGAAGGGATCCTTTAAGGGTTCCTTAAAGGGATCTATAAGGATTATTCTATAAAGGCTTTAGGGTTGGGAGTTGCCGAAAAAAATCGGGTGCCTTATAGGGTTCCCTCAAAGGGTTACTATAGAGGGTACTATGAGGGTCCCTTTAAAGGGCTCTATAAGGGTTTAGAGTTTCCGAAAATTAGGGGTACCGTATTTTGGGGTCCTTGTAATAAGGATTCTTTTTATTATATTGATTTTCGGAAACTACCTTATGCTTACTACAGGGGTTCCTGCAAGGGTATAGGATTTGGGGTTCCGTTAAGGAGTTAGGGGTTTGAGGTCCCTTTGAGGGTTAAGGGTTTAGGATTTAAGGTTTAGGGTTAGGGTTTGGGGGTTTTATAGTTTAGGGGTTTAGTTTAGGGTTTAGGGGTTTAGGGTTTAGGGGTGAGGGTTAAGGGATTTAGGGATTTAGGGGTTTAGGAGTTTAGGGTTTAGGCTAGGGGTTTAGGGTTAAGGGGTTTGGGGTTTAGGGGCCCGGGGAATCTAGGAATGCTCGTTGAATTATACCAAAGACGGTCAGAAAAAATGCACACCTAACAAATGCATACCAGCGTATACGTACAGATTTATATGCACGGTGTAATAATAATAATAATCTGGCTTTTCAAAGACTAGAGATAGCGTCAAGGTGGCTCAGTTTCGGGTTTCTGTTTTGGAGACTAGCGGGTTTAAGGCCTAAAGGGTTTGGGAACAGTTACGACGTGAGTATATTTATGTGGTTTACAATTTACGGCGTGCATGGGGTTTGGCGGTTTAAGGTTAAACGTAGAACCGTACGGCACCCTTCTATTCATCCATATGGCTGATACGGCTGCTGAAAACCCTATGCACACCCCGCCCCGCCTAGAAGGACGGGTGATTGGAAATCCAACAAAAACAACCTCCTGCAACTGCCAAGTCTGCAGGAGCCTCCACACAGAGAATCGACGACAGCGCTGAGAGGTTTGATCCCCCCAAAACCTGAGATCGGAGCCGGTTTGTCGGTTGTATTCGTTCTGTGGGGGGCGTCTTGGGTTTATTTAGAGTTCAGGAATTGTATATGGCTGTAGAATTTCAGAAGGCAGGGCTGAGGCTTTGTGTGGGGTTTCACGGTTTGGTTCAGCGCCGAGGTTTAGGGTTTAGGGTCTACTTAAAGGATTATGGGACTTAGTAACCAGGGTTATAATTATGGTAACTGTACAGTAGAAGCCAAAAAGCTGGAAACCTGATAGCCTCCATCCTTAAGAGTAATGTATAGGGAATCCCAGCACTATTTGGCCTTAATACGGATTCCACCTTTATGGGGTTTATTGTACTTATAACTACTTATATCCCCACTTAGGGTACTTAAAACCTTACTTACTAAGTCCCATAATCCTCTAAGTATCGGCATTAGTCCCCCAGACCCTAAACCGCAAGCCCCGAACCCTAAACCCTTGGAATCAAGTGAAGGGACTCAAGGCACTAGGCTGTAGAGCTGCGCGAATCGAATCTTCATCCCAAGCCTTCGAACGATTTAGGGTTTAGGGTTACCTTAACCCCACGTAACCTACCTTTTTAAGGGTTTATATAAAGAAATCATATTAGGGAACCCTAAAAAGTAGGTTCCTTAGGGTCCAGGTATTGCTGACCAGGGTTCAGGGCACCATGATATGGAGCTGTCGGCCCCGGAAGACGCAAGAGGGAGTGCCTTTATTGGGGGCCTCATGCCGCAGTCGTTGTCGTATGGGAGTTTCCCAAAATAGGGGCCCCCAAATACGGTACCCCTAATTTTCGGAAACTCCCATATGGATTCTTGAGTATTGCCAACACCATTCCTTGGCATTCCTCGTAATAGTTCTTGTACAGCATACTTGCGAACCGGATTCGAATGATTAAGGCCCTACCTGCCAATCGGTACATGATCTTTTTCCTTGCAGTACAAGGGTTTAGTGTGTAGGGTATATAGACTAGGACCTAGAGTAGGCCCTTATTCCCTTTTTTAGGGTTCAGGTTCCCTTATAAGCCCCTTTAAACCAAAAAGGGCACCCTTTTTGTTCCTAGGTTACTCTTGGGTCTAGTCACCCTAAACCCTAAACCCCTAAACCCTTAAGGACCCCTTAAAGGAACCCTACAGATCCCCTTAAAAGGAACCCTAAGAGCCCTAAATTGAGGCATCAGTGTGTAGGGTATGTAGAGTGCATCCTCTGGACCCGAACCATTCCTTGAAGTGATCAAACAGAGATGAGCTGGGATTTGAATGAAAGGCTTTCGGGGTTTGATAAGCCCCTAAACCCTAGACCCTAAACCCTAAACCCTAAAGAGTACCTAAGAGCATTGCATCTATAGAAGCCACCGGCCGAAGTCGGTACAAGGCCCAGTTAAATCCTAAACTCTAAAACCCGCAAAGACCCTTCAGAACCCTCAACCCTAAAAGCCCAAACCACGCGCCTTATGTCAGCTTGGGAGGATCGGGCAGTTCAAAAAAAACACACTAAACTCTAAACCCTAAACCTCTAAGCTCTAAACCCTAAACCCCTAAACTCTAAACTCTAAGCCCTAAACACTCACTGAGGTTCAGGGTTTTTTTCTGCGCAGGTCGCGATGGCAAGCTGCAAACCTTCGTAACCTGGCAGGCCGCTCGCTGCTGATGTGGCAGGTGCTTAGGTTTCAGGGTTCGGGGTTTTGGGGATGTTTAGGGGTTAGGGTTGAGGGTTTAGGGATGTTTAGGTTTTAGGGTTGAGGGTTTCGGGATGTTTAGGGTTTTAGGCTTAGGGTTTTGGGCTTGGGGTTGAGGGTTTAGGGCGTGTAATTTTGTATCGGCGCGTTGATAGTTTCAGTTGGAGTTTGGGGAATCGCTGGTACTGTATGGCTTATATGCCGCTGCATGGGGACATGGCTCCTCGATGCCCTGGCGATAGTATAGGTATACATGTATATATACATATATACAGGTATTTAGTGGATAATAGGGGATGGATGAAGGGTGTAGGTAGGTTGTCGGATGTAGGAAGGTGCATTGGATAGATTTTGTTTGTCGAGCCATTGGGAGTTTAGGATTAAGGGGCCCCGCAACGGTTTAGCATTGAACAGCGCAGAGCCTCATTCTAACTATTAATAGCATTATGTACAAGTCATTAGACTTGCGTTCGCAGCTGCTGACGCACGGAGACCTGACCCCTGTCCACAGCTTTATCGCTGAGCGTTCTATGAAACCCTCCAGAACCGTGTCGCATAGCAGATCGGTTCTGTAGACCATAATCACAACCTAAATCCCAAACCATCCTAAACCCCAAACCCGTGTCTTCTTCAGCCCCAAGAAGTGCAGAGCAAGTCACGACAATAGTATGACAGGTAATACCTCCCCAAACAAACAAAACCCAGTCCAAAGTTACTGGATCAGAACGGGGCCGATCCCGGAAACTCGGGCAAACCAACATGCCCTATGTTCTCAACTCGGAACTCTGGGCCTTGTGCTGCCAAAACCTCATACGAACACAAGCCAAACATCTATGCCCTAAATTAAAAAGCCCGAAACTCTAAGCCCTATACTACCAAAACTCATCACTGGCTGCTTTCGAGGACGAGCAAGGAAGGACTGGTCGCCGACGGAAAGCTATCAGTGCAGTGGGGTCCCAAGAAAAGAGGGGGCTCTAGGCGAGGCTTTCGGGCTTGAGGGTTTAGGGTTCTTTGTGAGGGGTTCATGGGTTTCCCTAAACCCTGAATCCGAAGACGGGGTTCTTTGCAAGGGTTCCTCGTCAGTTTTTTTGGGCGTGGGGGTACAAGATTTGGGTTTTTTTGCACGGTGAACTCCTCAACCATGCCGATGTCAATGTCCGTGTTGACCCTGAAGTACCTATGCAAGGGGTTGACATGCCAATGTTACCCGTTAGAACTTTCGCGGATCCAGATACGCATTGAAAGATGGCAGCATTGGTTGGTGGCCATCAGAAACACATTTCTGTTG